TGCAGCAGGCTGCCCTCGCTGTGCGTCCGGCGCCGCAGAGAGTTCTGCACCCGCAGCGAGAGGCCCCCCTCGCCCCCCTGGCCCGTCTCGATCATGCTGCTGCGCTTCGCCTCACTGCGCTCTCCGTAGTTGTCATCGCTCGTGTCCTCATCCTCCTCTTCCTCCTCCTCCTCCTCCGCCTCCTCTGCCCCCTCTGCCTCCTCCTCATCTCCCGAGCTGCCCCCCTGGGCCCCTGCCTGCTGGCTGTAGGTGCTATCCAGCCGGACCTCAGGGATCACAAAGGCAGGTCTGGAGGCGGCAGGCAGGGACTCGGTGGCTGCCGCTAGGTCCCCAGAGCGCGAGGTCTCCTCAGCAAGGGCCTCAGCAGGCAGGGAGCCCTGGCTGGGAGGCAGGTCTTCACAGGGTACAGGGGCTTGAGCAGGGGGCTCTGTGACCGCAGGGAGGTCTTCGCCAACAGGAGGATCCTGGTGAGGAGTGGGTTCGTGACCAGCAGGAAGGTCCTGGCAAGGTGGGAGTTCTGAGGTTGGAGGGGGTCCCTGGCCTGGTGGGGAGTCTTCCCTTGGCGGGGCTTCTGAGCCTGCAGGGGGTTCTTGGCCACAAGGTGAGTCTTTACTGGACAAAGGTTCTTGGCCAGAAGCAGGTTCCTGCCCCGAAGAGGAATCCTGGTTGGGTGGAAGCTCTTGTCCCGGAGGCAGCTCCTGCCCAGGAGCGCAGTCCTTGCTGGGTGGGGGGTCCTCAGCACTCGGCCCCTTCCCTTCCGCCAAGGGCATCTCTCTCTTCTCATCTGCCTCTGTCTCAAACATCTGGAAAGCAGAAAAAATATAAGGAAGGTTCAGCAGAGGAGGCTACAAGAGGCCAAAGAGGGTGCACGAACCCACGTCACAGAGGCTGGCACCAAATCAGGCAGCAGCCTGAACCCCGCAGCCCACAATAAAAAGTCCAAGGGCCAGATGGAAAGCTGAGAGCCTTCTTGGCTCAGCTCACTAAGATCCCACCATCTCCCTTCTCGGAGCTTCCTCTCCCTCCAAAGCATGGCTGGTCACCTGAGGGAGAGGAGGAGAGGTAACCACCACGTGTCTGGCTCCCGCTGGGTGATAGGCGCCATGCCAGCCTCAATCCCCTCTCTTACCCGATCTGCCTCACTGCATCCTTATCCTCATTTTACACACACACACAAAAACGAAAACAGGGGCACCACTGCGCTGAGAGTAAAGGAAAAGCTAGGCACTCTCTGCCTTTATGGACCAGAACCAAAATAAGCCCCTACATCAGAGCGGTCACCGAGTGGCAGAATCCTCAGCGTAGCCAGAGAACCAAAGTTTAAAAAAATCTGAGTGAGTCATTCCAACAAGAATTCACTCTAAATGTTAAGTGTCTTTTTGAAATCAGTAAACTGGAAAGAAACCAGAACCGTAAAATCCTGCCCACACCTGGGCTAACCAGATGTCACAGACACACAGACCACCACCAAGGCGCCAGGGATCACCCACCCAGTGACTTTTCAACCGTTTGAAGGAATCTTAGGGATTACACACACACACACACACACACACACACACACACACACACACACACACACTTTCCTGCCTCACACACAACCCAAGGGACCCTCAGGGTTTTGCTAGGTAGATTTGATTTGCAAATGAAGAAACAGTTCCCTTGATGAGAGTCTGAAAAGCATCTATCTTATAAGGAAGTTGTGGCCCTGACAATGTCAGTGTCCAGGGGGCCTCAGACACATGGGGAAGCAGCTCTCAGCCCTGATCTAGGCTCCTCTCCACACTCAGGGGCCTGGAATGCTCAAGCTAGAACTATTTAGAGCCCAGATGAGCCACAGCCACCTACAGCCAATGAAAGAGGAAGACACAACACCTACGCTGGAAATAGGTGCAGGAACACATTCCCCCATGGTGGGTACCCACAGAACTTCGTTGCATGCTCTAGTTCTAGAGACCGTGAATGCCCATTTGACGGATGACAAAACTAGAAAACTGAACCCAGAGTGCAATGACTTATCCACTGCTGCGCAGTTGCTCTGAGACCCAAAGGCCATGCCCTGTGCTGAGAAGCTGAGAAGTCGGGGAAGCTGTGGGGGGGGTGTGAAGCCCACGCAGGCCTTCCCAGCTGCGAACAAGTGATCCCAGCACACATGGCTCAGGGTAGCTGCACACATACCTTATCAAGGGTCACACTCTGCGAGCAACAGAGCAGATGTGAAAGCACAGTGTGGGAAGAGTCACTGCCTGAGCATGAAAGCAAAAGGGGCCCCATCCAGTGGAGAGCAAGGGGAAGCCTTAGAGGATTGTAGGATGACCTGGCTGGGTCAGAGATCACACACCTTAGGCTCTGGTTCTAGGGCTACTGGCTCCATAGCCTTCTTGCCCCGGGAATGCTGCCTGCAGCTGGGAGGTGACTGCTCAGGGACCCCTTAGACCTCACAGCCTTAGACTACGAAACATCAGTGATCAAAAATCCCCATTGCATAGACAGGGAGGCTGAGGTCTAGAGAGGGCCACAGGACAACCTAGAATCACACAGCAGGATCGGATAGAACCAATCACTAACCTGGGCCTCTGAGTCTCCGCCTGTGAATGGATAACTAACCAATGTGCCCACGTGCCAAACCAGGTGAAGAGACTATAACAAGTATAAAGCTCTTAACGGAGACGATGATAGGAGATGGTAGCTGCTCCTAAAAGTGGATCTAGAGAGGAATTCTGAACTCAAGGATCTCACACAAAGGTTCATCTTCCCTGGGAACTCCTGAAAGTAAACTCTGCCCAATGCCGCCAATCAGCGTTGGCCACTGTGAAACCAGAGCGCTCAATCCAGAATTGCTGGAAAGTAAGCCCTGCGCTTAGCACATCAGGCTGTTCCCAGGTGGACACGGCTCTCCACTGGACAGGCAAGAAGATTAAAGGCCCGGCCTGGCTGCACAGGCACTCCGTGACTTGCCCAAGGCCGACCAGCGTAACTCAGGGCTGGAAGAGGCCCAGAACCCAGGCTTCTGGCTCTGTCCCTCCAAAGCCAATTTCTGATCTAAGCCTTAGTCCTCAGCCCATCACCCACTCACCAGGGAGCATCTCCACCTGGAAAAATACACGGTCCCCAGTCAGCTCCCCTGAACACATCTATACCATCTTCCCACGCACACAACTGCCTCTCTAGTCCTTGGAGAAAGATGGAGGTAGCAGCAACCCCAGGTGTCCCTGGGGCCTGACACAGTGTGACACTAGGAGAGGAACAGGCTGATTTCCTCTCCCGGGGGGCGGGGTGGGGGCAGGCCTGTCCCAAGTGTGCCTGCCTGCGGAGTCCACCCGGTATCCTGGGGAAAGTGCAATGACAAGCCCCAAACCAGAAATGCAAGTCAGCCTGCCTCTGACAACCCGACCTAGACTGGGCCAAACCAAACAAAGCCAAGAGGGGAAGTGCCACTGGGCAGAGGTGCCTATCTCCAGAGGACCCAACCAAGGGACTGGGACTGCCAAGAAACCACCCAGAGTGCCCAGCAGTTATACGCTTTGTGCCCCAGTCAGTCCCATCCTTGTAGGACCACTTTTGCCCTTTGCAAATCTGGTCAAGCCTCTGAAGCTCAGGAGCCTCTGTCTCTCATCGGGAACAGAGCCCAGGGACATTGTGTGGGACTCACGGGCTCTGGCTGGTCTCCCAGAGTGCCTGGAAGTGTTAGATACGACGGTGGTTACTAGTAGTCTCATCTTATCTTAGAGGGGGGTAAGCTGAGCGCCTAGAGTGTAAGGGAATACCGAAGAAGTCAAAGACTCACATGCAAGATTAAGACTGATCTCCTGTCCAAGGCCTCTTACACACACATTTGGGGCCCTCAGGATCCAGACAGAGGGGAAACAGCCAGCCGCAAATTGGAAGTAGAACAGACGCTTTGCAGACAAAACCAAAGGTTCATTGTCCCTTGCCACGCTCCCCATTAGCACCTGTGTGAGCCTCAGCCATGGTGGGTAGATTGGGTCAGGACAGCATTCCTGGGAGAATTGGGGAAGGAATGGCTTAAGGAGTGCTACGGGGCAGCTGCGGGAGATCTGAGCGCCCCAAGGGTGAACAGTGGCAAGCACAGGAGAGAATTAAGGCAGGAGAGGAGACAAAAATGAGGGCAAGGTCTCAGAATGAATGGCAGGTGTGACTTGTCTGTCACCAGCAAATGACAGCGACAGAGCTGTCTGCGTCAAACCTGCTCAGGGCAGTGCCAGCAGGATGTGGGGGCAGGGCACACGTGCATTCATTCACTCATTCTCTGGGCATAGAGTAAGTACTGAGGGACAGAAGGGAATGAGTCAGGCACAGTCTCTGCCCTCAGTGAAGCAGAAAACAGAGGCTAGAAATGGTGTTTAAGGAGTGTGCTGAGCACACTGAAGGAGGAAGTGCAGGCAGCTGGGGACACCCACTTCTGTTGCAGCAGGTTGTGGTGACAAGAATCCAGCCGGAGAGCCCGGCCAGAGGCCAGCCTGCTCACCCAGGGCCTTCAAGTCCAGAGCGCCGGCCAGTGCAGCCCCGCCCTCCCGAGGGGCCTGTATCTCTCCATCCATCACTTGCTTGGCTTGGCTGGACCGGGGTTAATTCCGCCCATGTCTTGCCTGCTAGCAACACACAGGAAATGAACCAGGCCCTCTAAACAGCACCACTGTTTAGGATCTAATCAAATCCTCTCCCAAATCCAATCCAGAGCTCGGAACAGGCTAGGGAAGGGTGGCGGCTACGACGCCCAGAGCTCCTGCTCGCACCTGCTGTGGCTCCCAGGCCCCGGAAGCCCGCCGACTGCCCACTGGGTTCATTGGGTTGCTAGCAGTGACTTGCCCAGTGTCACACAGCTATTGACTTCACAGCCAGGACTGTTGACCCCAGAGGCAACCTGCAGGTCTCACGCCGATGATTCATCACATCCACCCAGATACCGGGCTCAGCAGCTGCCCTCAAAAACCACTTCCTGCTCCAGGGGGGTGGGGGAGTATGCTGGGGTTTGCCTAGGCCTCAGGGTGTCCCTTGTTCAGTCAGGATTTTACAGGAAGCACTGGACATAGAGCCAGAAGAGCTGGGCTGGAATCGTCAACATTTGCTGACTGAGAGATCTCAGGCTACCTGGCTTTCCAGGCCATGAAGTAAGTGAAGCTGCCTCCTTGTTCCACCAAGTTTGGTGCACTCTAGTCCCCACCTTTTAGGTCTCTGGGATGATGTCCCCAAACCTCACCTGCTCTGGGATGATGTCCCCAAACCTCACCTGCTCAACCAATACTTAGCATCCTCCACCTAGCTTCAGTCCAGCTCCACCAGGCCTGGCTTCCTGACACTCAGAGGCCGGAGCCTTCCCTGCTGCCTCTGCCAGCCGTTCAAGGACCCTCCGGGCTGTTCTTTTCCCTGTTCCTAGCTAGATAGGGTGGGCAAAGTCCAGGAGGACAGAGGCCACAGCTGACAGTACCAGGGGCTGTGGATACCGAGCCTGCTTCACATTTACTGGCCGGAGGACCTCGGGCTTAACCTCTCCATGCCCCAGTTTCCTTAGCTGTAGCACAGAACTAAGAACACTTCCTCACACTGCGCTTAGGTGGATAAATGGGCTAAGGGCCATCCAGAAAATGGCACTGGGCGGCCGGGCAAGCGCTCAATAAGTGGTAGCCACCACCATTCTAGTACAGCTTAGCTCTAACTGCTCCCTCCCAGACTTCCTGTGACCCATCCACTGACCCCCACCCCACACTGCCTGTGCACCAGAACTTCCTCCGGGGCCTTCTGTCACCTCAGGCCAGCATGTTCCTCCATTAGGCACCCAGCAGCCTCCTCCTCAGCCCGCAGTCACTCATCAGCCACTGACACGTCCTGGTCCACACAGCCAGCCCAGACCTTTCTCCGGATCCCACATTCCATAGGCAAGCCGTGGTCCAGTCCCCACAGAGGAGCTCTGCAGCCAAACACACTTCTAGGCACGAAGATATACAACAGGGAAGGAGAAAAGGTATGATGATCCCCGTCCCCATGGAGCTCACGGGCTAGCGAGGACGGACGCCATCCGCATGAAGACAGGAAACACACTGAACATGCCCCGCAAGGTACAGTGGAGCTACGAGGTGCTGTGAGAGTGAAGACAGGGGAGGCTGGGCCAGGTGGCTTGGAGGGAGGGAGGACCTGAGAGAGGACTTTGCATAAGAACAGCAATCTGCTCAGCCTGCAGGGAAGGCTCCCTGGGGAGGAAGTACATATGCAGAGGTCTGGCCATGAGCGGCTTAGCACACATACCCGAGGGACACTGCGGAGAACTCCTGCGTACCCCATCAGTACCCCAAGATCAATACAGCGCCGGCTGAATGTGTGATTTCCCTGGTCCTTTCCTCCTCGGGGCCCTTTATGATACCTCCCTAGTCGCCCAGCCCAGGGACCTGGATATCATTCTCTCTGCTTTTCCTTCACTACCGCGCCACATGGCCATTCATCAAATCCTCAGGATCGTTCCTTGTCAAATCTCAGAAATCTTTCCACTGGGGAGCTATGTATGGTGGGGAGAGAAGGCATAAGAGTACTCTGTACTTTCTGCTCAATTCCCAAAACCGCTCTAAAAAATAAATGTATTGATTTTTTTAAAAAAAGAATCTTTTTGCTCTATCCATATCCAATTCCACGGCGTCATCCCCCACCCAGACGGTGCCAACCTCCCAGTGGTGCCCAGACCATGCTCTGTGCTGTTGCAGGGAATCTTTCTGGGACAAATCCAAACTTGTCACTCCTTTGCTTAAAACTCTGATGTGGCTCCCCAGTGCCTTGGAGATAAAGTCCAAATAGGTTAATCCCGGAAGAACCAGGTTCTGCCTCTTCCTCTAGCCTCATCACTCCCCCACTGTAAATGTTGGATGAATGACTGAATGAGGAATCCAGTGAATTTCACAGGACCACCTAGACTGTCTCCTGGAAGTGTGGACACTGCTGCAGGGCACGTGTGTGAAGTGCAGACTGCGAAGCCTACTGGAGCAGAAACTGCATTTTAACAAGATCCTGAGTGACTCGTGCGCCTACTGAAGTTTGAAAAACACTGATATAGACCATTGGCTCCCAGCGGAGACATTCACTCTAGAACTACCTGGGAACATTTCAAAATACCTACATTGGGGTCCAGTTCCAGACCTAAAGGATCAGATTCCCTGAGAGTAGGGCCCAGGTGCTTTCACTTTTTTCTGACTCCCAGATGATCCTGAGGAAAGGCCTCAGTGACAAGGGGATGAGGCAGGGAGAAGGGAGGTGATGTGCCCCAGGTCACACGACAGAATCAGGATCAGCACCCACTCCAGGCCTGGTTCCTACACACAAGGCTTCCTGTCTGATAGGATGCTGTGCAGAAGAGGGGAGACCTAGGTGGGGAGCTGGCACATCTGCTAGAGGTGTCTACCCATTCATGTGCGTCATATAGAGGCCCAGGGAAGGAAAAAGAAGTTGACCACAGATTGCAACCTCTCTGTACCTAAAGGATCCCATGACTCATGGTCTGTTGGGGGCTCAGGAGGGTAGCACCTTGCAGCAGGGAGCAAACCCATTCTGCTGAAAGCAATACTGAGGCCCAGAGAAGCAGCTCTTCCCAGGTCGGAAACTCGGCACAAAGCCAACACTCAGGAAAGGGGGCTCCCTGAGGAGTGAGAAGGCAGGAAACATTCCCTACTCCTGGCACTGCCACCTAACCAAGCCAGAAGGACATGCACCCGGCAGCCTGCTGAAGATCCCCAGCCCTCCAAGATCCCTAGCTTCTCCCTAGGCAGTCAGGGGAGGCAGCTCCCAAGCTATGTTCCAGTTGTGTGCTCTCCTGTCACAGCCTGGCCAGGCCTGTTCTCCTCTCGGGATCTCAGACACCACTGCTTTGAGAGTGGGCTAACAGGACCTGCACCCCACAGATATCTTCTTTACCTGCAGCTCTCCTCTCTGAAAGGCAAGCAGTTGAAAGTCAGGATTCCCTGGTGTTTTCCTGTGCCATGGTGACAGACAGTACAAAGAGCTCCTGGTCCTGGCCCAGCCCAGGTGCCCTGCTCAGGAACTAGCTCTGACCTGGCGTCACTACCACTCCCTTCCTCCTCTGTCTCTGTGAGCACCACCTCACCTCACCAATACCTCTACCTGCTCAGATCTATTTCCTGCCTGTCCTGCAAGCCCCCTAACATCCCCTGGCTACAGAGCCCAGCCACGTACCAAAGCCTATGCCAAACAGCAGCAAGACATGTCCCTGCTGAAGGTAGCAGGTCCATGGGGAACAGACTCAATCTCCCCCTGTCCTCCACCTCCCACCCAGAGGGTTATGGAAGCACACAGGCAGGAGGAAAAGACCAGCAGGGCTCTCAGAGAAGGCCACAGGAAAAGGGATGGGACGGGAGGCTGTAGCCAGAGACAGCATGGAATTCTGGAGGAGGCACAAGTGCTGGACCTCACCCTGAAATCAATGTCTGGCTCATGGGCCCATGTCCCAGCTTACTCATCCCCTGGCCTCCCGGAGCTCCTCTACTTATTTGTGTTTTGATCTGGTGCAAGTTGCTTAACCTCTGTGAGTCCCAGTTTCCTTATTTGCAAAATGAGGCCAATGATACTGACCTCACAAAGTTGGAAGTGAGGGAGTATATGCAAAGGAATTGCCAGGGTGCCTAATAAACAGCAGGTGCTCAATTAATGATTCCCATCTTTCTCATCATTCTCTGTTTCTTCTATTTCTAGCGCCACCTTTCCTATACCTACAGCACTAAGAGACACTGCTGGGCTACTTAGGGTACATGTGCTGAGTAACTCTGGGGTGGGGAAGTAAGGGAAGTAAACCAGGGCCACTGTCCTACTGAGCCAAAGTCTCAGGCCATGAGAGTAGAGCAGGCCGGGCCCTGGAAGGACAGCTGCGAGCCCTCCAGGTGTGGCACGTTAAGGGGCATCTCCCTGGAGCATGTGGGATGAACAGGAAATGAACTTGAACAGGTAGAGATATTAGGGCATGAGTGGTCACACATGCAAATGCACACACGTGCGCACGCGCGCGCGCGCACACACACACACACACACACACACACAAGGCAGAGGAGTCAGGCCTGCCTATTTCCCCAGAGCTCCTTTCCTGCCCTCTTTACTTCCTTTTTCCTCCCTCCCTTCCTTTAAAGACTGTTTCCTGAGGGCCCCCTTGGGCCAGGCACTGTGCTGGGCACCTGAGAGGGCCCCAGGAGTGGCCGGCAGTACCAGGTTCAAGGCCTTGCTCTTACGCCAAGTGGTCAGTGACTGCGGATCAGGAGTCCCATTGGCTGGTATGGGGAGGGATGCAGAACTCCACACACCTGGGGACCCTGCCAAACTTTCTGCTTCCCAGGGACCACTTCCAAGTGGGGCTTTTCTGCAATGTTCTATGCTAGGCTGATGAAACAAAACAAGCTCTGCCAGGCCAGGAAGACCCCAGGGAAGGGCATAAATAGTGCCGCGGTCACGAGGCCAGCATTTGGAATCAGGCAGGCAGGCCTCCCACTTCCTAACCGTGTGACCAAGTCAGGGTGACGCCTCCCTCAGAAGGCTGCTGCAGGCATGCGGAGGCAGGGGCTGGTGCACTGCAATGTTCGGCACACAGCAGTGCCCTTTGCTTCCGGGTGGGCACCAGGGACCAAGCCTGAACCGTGGCTTCCCTTCAAGGAACAGCCCAGCCACAGGGAGCACTCTGAGAGCCAGAGGCGGTGGGAAGGGAGCCCTCTGTGCTGAAGACCTGGGGCCTAGAGATCAAATCAGGCTGCTTAACCTCTTCAAGGCCGGGCTGTAAAATGGTCGTACAAATCCCGGGTAGCCACAGCACAGCACCCCTGGTAGACGGTCTGCAAAAGGAGCTGAGCATACAGCCTGGCACGTACAAGGAGTAATCATCATGCAGCGAATGTTTCAATTGTTAAAACATTTATTACAGTAAAACACACATTGCCATTAATCTCCCTCAAAATATCCACCTCTTTTAAACATACATATCCCACTGTGCTTGCCACTTTCAGCAGCAGTTCTGGAAATCATCTTTCATGGGTATCTTTATAAGGTGTTATTAAAAAAAAAACTGTACTCAATGCTGCTGCCGAGGGCCGTCCAATGGAAAGACAGGCTCATAAAAACATTTCGATGTGTCCTCATCCACCCTGTTCACCAGATCTGGTGCCGTGCAATTTCTGGCTCCTTCCCAAAGTCAACATGACTGTGAAAGGGGGGCATTTTGAATCATTTCAGTGCACTGAGGCAGCCACGACAGCGCAACTAAAGACACTCATGAAAGAGCACTTCCAGAACTGCTTCTGAATATGGCAAGAATGCTGGGATAAGTGAGTTTGAAGTGAGAGAGAGTATTTTGAAGGGGGTTAGTAGCAATGTGTCTTTAACTGCAATAAATTGTTTAAAATTTAACCATTCACTGTATTTTTTCACTGCATTTTTCGATCGCACCTCAAGTAGATACTCAGTACAAGTTTGCACTTCCTGTAATCATCATCATTATTCCTGTCATATCACCCTCAGCCTTGTCAGCTCCCTTCCCTGCACCCAGCTCTGGGGCAGGGCACCTGATGCATTCTGACCTTTAAAACCACCTAGAATAGGAACCTGATTTACTGCATGTTTCGGAGGAGGAAAGTGAGACCCGCATCAAAGCTGTGGAGTGTAGGAGTCCATGCTCAGCCTTCCCCTGGGCCCAGCCATTCTGGCCTGCTGTGCACTCTAGGCCAAGTCCCTGTCCCCCTGAGGATCTGTCCAGCTCTGAATCTCAGCCAGCCCGGAAAGGTCAGATCTCAGGGCCCGTCATGTGGTCAGGTCTCCTTGGGGATGCATCAAGGACAGCAGCAGCAGAAAGAGCCGCCTTCCCAGGGATACCTTTACCTTCTCTGTCTGCTCCATTCCTAAAATGTCTCTTCTATCAGGGCCTGTGGTGCTGGGCACTCTAGTCAGGGGCACGAGGTGGCAGAGAGAGGTTCTTCCACCCAAGGACACTGGCATAGACATCTGGGACTTGGCGGCAATCCTAAGGCTAAAGGTCACCCTCCAGGGCCCCAGTCACCTGCCTTTCCACTGCCCCCCAAGCAAATGTACCCTGGTCTCTGTTGAGGGGCAACCATTCACCCTCCTGCCATCCCCTACCCTTCCATGCCCCTGGGCCTTGCACAAACCTGACTCTATTCTCCTGCTTCTCTGACCCATTGGAGATAAAGTCCCAACCCCTCACCCTGTGTGTCCTGGCCCTGTCAACATCTCCACCACACGGTCTCCTCTTTTCCCTCCAGCCAATCCAATGCACACCTCTACACCTGTGCCCATGCTCTATCTCCTCCCTAGAACACCTCCCCTTCCTCTCCACCTGGTGAAGCTCTGCTTATCCTTTAAAGCTCCAGCCCACCCACAGGGCACCCCCTCCATTAGGGACAAAGATGACAGTGCTCCACCTCGGGAGAGGATGGTCTTTTTAACAAATTGGATACATACCTAGGGAAAACGAGCCCTGGGCCCTGCGCCACACTGTGCCAAAAAACCTATGACAAGTGGATTTTAGATCTAAATATAAAATGATTGAACTTCTCGATGATAAGAGAGTA